GAGTCTCGATAAGTTTGGACGTAGACAAAGTTCTAAGGCGGTGGAACCATTGCTTAAATTAAGGCAGTTGGAAAACAGTTTTAAAAATAATTATAGCATAAACAAAGTAACTCTGGACAAGTTAAATGACAGTGTAAACGGTATTGCAGATAAAACTAGAGACATTGAGGCATTCATCACGAGAGATCCACCTATAGCAGGCAAACATATGGCAACAAAGAAATACGTTGATGATGCGATTAAAACCAATAAAGGATATCTTCGAAGCGATATCGCAAAATTGGAGGATCAGTTGAAAAAAAGCAATCATGATTTGTTTTTGAAAATACAAACATTAAATACATTAAATGAGGATTTTGCACAAGTAGCCTTGCTTCATCAAAGAAATATAGATAAGGTGAACGGTGCTTTGAATACTACTATTAAACAAATTAACGATAAATTATCTTTAGAAATACAAAAAATTGGTGATATGATTAAAATAGGTGATGCTGACATTAAGCGTGAACTTTCGAATGTAACGCAACAAGTATCAACACATCAAAAAGATCTTGAAAGTATCAGCGAAAAATTCGTTAAGTTATATGATATAGATATGAAATCAATTCGCAATGAAATGATTGTTAAAATAGATAATTTGACTGAACAATTGTTGCAAGATAATCAATTGATTTTAGATTTGGATGCAAATTTTAAAGCAATCGCCAATACTACTCATTCTTAGAATTTTTTTCACTAATGCTTAAATTCGTTATAAAACATTAATCTTTTATTCAATAGTATGGCTTCGAAGGACAAGCTCCAGCTTGTCAACGAGTTGCATAGACCTGCTCGTAAAAACTATCCTAGACGCCGTACAATTATTAAAGGTTTGGATGATCTATGGCAAATGGATTTGGCTGAAATGCGTCCTTATGCGCATCAAAATAAAAATTTCAAAATGATTATGGTTATAATAGACTGTTTTTCGAAATTTATGTGGACACGCCCACTTAAGACAAAGACAGGTGAGGAAATAACGAAAGCTTTTGCCGATGTTCTCGCTCACTCCAAAAGAATACCGAAAAATTTACAAACAGATCAAGGAACCGAATTTTTTAATACAAAATTCCAAAATTTAATGAAAAAATACAACATTAATCATTATAATTCATACAGTGTTGTCAAAGCTGCAATTGCCGAAAGAGCAATAAGAACTTTAAAATCGAAATTATATAAATACTTTAGTTTAGTTGGAACATACAAGTGGCTTGATGCCTTACCTAACCTAACAAAAGAATATAATGAAACGAAACATAGAACGATTGGATGTAAGCCTGCGCAGGTAAACAAGACAAACGAAAAATATATTTTGAAACAAAAATATTCTCACTTGAAAATTGCAGGGCCTAGAAAACTTAAAGTCGGCGACATTGTACGCATTAGTAAAGCGAAACACGTTTTTGAAAAAGGCTATACGCCCAATTGGACTACAGAATTATTTAAAGTTGCAAAATGTAAGATAACCAATCCCGCTACGTATCTTCTCGAGGACATGGAGGGTGCACCAATCAAAGGCGCATTCTACGAAGAAGAATTACAGAAAACCGCAAATCCTGATATCTACTTGGTGGAGAAGATTCTTAAACGCAAAGGAAATAAAATGTACGTTAAATGGTTGGGGCTAAAAGGTAACAGTTGGATCAAAAACGATGATTTTGTATAGGTTCACGAACAAATTTCTACCTACCTTTTTGTACAATCTACCGAATGTAAAAGTGGGAGACTCATAGGTAAAAGTGGGGAGAGCAAAAGTATAAATTGCAGAAATCAAGCTTGACGTTCTCAGTTGTTTGCAGTCGATCAGTAAAAATGTGCAGTCAAGACAGTGGTATCGAAGTATTAGTCGAGAGTGATAGCGATAGTGATATTATGGATGATATTGATGCTGAATTCGATCAATTTTTCGAAAAGCTAAAACCTTCTGCAGAACTTGACAAAATTGTACAATCCTATGAAGATGCTGCAAAACGTGAGATGCATTACCTACTTCAAACCTCATATATGTTATCAGGATACGACATTCGATGCGGTATAAGTCCAGCGAGATCGTTTACTCCAGCAATCATTTTGGCTCAACACTTTAGGTCTACTAAAATATCTTTTGGAACTTTCGAATGGGCTCTTTTTGTCGATATTCTCAGACAAAAGATGGATGATTTTTTCGAGGAAGACTTGCCTACATATTATCCAGACGAGTATGACCCTATAACATTTTCATGTGGCGATTATTGTATGATTACGCAACTGGTTTATGACGACATCAAATTCTTGGTTGTGAAGAAACATGGCGTTGAATACTATTTGTGTAAAGAGGAAGTGCAGGAAATTCTTGAAATTAACAAACAATTGGTGTCCAATAGAGTGGCTTTATTAGAAGAACTTAATTTCTGCTTATATTATAATAATATTATCGATTTTTGTAAAACACGTGATGACTCTGTACAATTGTTATTTTCAATGTGTGAAATACGTCCAAACGATTTGTTAAACCACGCTCTTAGAGAGTACATTTATTTTTATAAAATTTCTATAATTAATGATTTAAATAAATGATTTTTGAAAACTAGTTTTCTTTTATTTTCATATTCATTATCATTTAAAATGTTTAAGAATACAGACGTGCTTTCTTTATTCTTTATTGCTGCTGCTGCTGCTATAACTCAAGATGATGCTTTGACATATTTACAAAATTTCGGTTACATAAATAAAAGTGAAAATGGTCTTACTGATATTACTAGTGCATTGATAGATTTTCAAGAAATCAATAATCTTCCGGTTGATGGAAAGTTAAATGAAGAAACCGTTCGTTTAATAAAAAGGCCTAGATGTACTCAGGGCGATAATTCTTTTACTGTGCATTCCAATTGGAACAAAAAACATTTACGATGGTATTTCCCTCAGGTGTCGAGGAACTATATCGATCTAGCTACTCACGCTTTTGATTTTTGGGCACAGAATACTACTCTAACATTTGAAAATGTTCGCATACCTACTCCAAGGCCTGATATTACCATAACCTTGGTAAAAGGACGACATGATTATCGTGCTAGCTGTCATGGTAGAAAAGCATGCCCATTTCCATTTGATTATCAGAGTAATATGTTGGCTCACTCGTATTTTCCTTTAGCTATTCCATGTGTAGAGATTCATATTAATAACGAAATAAATTGGTATCTTGGCTACGATGGTAAAGTTACCGAAGAACAATACAACTTATTTATGGTGCTTGTTCATGAAATTGGACATGCACTTGGTTTAGGACATAGTAGTAATAAAAATGCAATTATGTATCCTTGGTATCAAGAAGAAAATAGGCCACTCGATGAAGATGATGTAATAGGTATGGAATCCATGTATGGAAGTCGACAGAAATTTGCTAAAATTCCTCCAAATATTTTGGAAATGATGACTGAAACCGCTACAAAACCTGCTACCGCCTCTACTACCGCCACAACTAAAAAACCGACTACCACCACAACTACAACTGAGTCAAATATATTGCCCAACATTCCATCGCAAAAATCGTCTACAAATTTATGTAATATTAAAATACCTAACTTCATGTTTTTAGCAACGGCAGAAAGCTTTCCTAGTTATCGAATGTATGTAGGCCACGAAAGTTTTTTGTGGAAATTAGAGTTAAATGATATGCATATTCCACTCACATCAGAACTCATTGCCGATTACCTTCCTAGAGAGCTCAAATCTCACAACATTTCACATATCTTTCAAAACTCTGTTGGAGACTTGGTTACAATCAGTAAACAAATGGTGTACGTAGTGAGGTTTCCTAATTTAAACATTCAACATAGTTTTAATCTACCAATTAAAAATATTAAAGTTATTAATGCTTTATTTCAAACAAACAGCGGGCGGATGTACCTGTTGTACAACAATGATATATACATTGAATTTAATGAAACTGGAGAAATACTTAATCGGGGAAGAACAAGAGATCTGTTTCCTGGAATTCCTGGAGATCTAACTTCTGCATTTAGATATATAGATGGACATATATACTTTTTCTATCAAAATACCTACTATAAATACAGTGAATATACAAGAAAAGTTGTAGAAGCAGGAACCTTTAGCTGGAATCTGTTTGGAGTACCATGTCCTGATGATAGCATATTGAATCAATTGAAAACTATGTTAGCAAAAATTATTTCTTTTTATGAATAAAATAATAATACTAAAGACTTCTGCTTTTTTTTTTACCCACTCAAAAATAAAAGTCAAAAATGGAGAAATAATATTTTTATTGTTTTTAAAATAAAATAAAAATAAAGTATTTGAGATTACGTTGTACCTCAAAAACTACAAAAATAAAAAAATATACAATGTGTGTTACAATAGAATTAAAACGATTCTATACAAAAATATCTTAAAATCTATAGAAAAATTAAATATATGACAATATTTCTATACAGAAAAAAAACAAAAGTAAATTACATACGAAAAAAGGATATAAAGCGATTTTTTTAAAATATTTTTATTTACCAGTGTTTTTTGAAAAATAAAATCCAGAAAACTCATCAATTTCAGTTTCACTTTCATCAGAATCTATAAATCTGTTATTTTTAGGAGACGTATGTAGTGCATTTATACATGATTCATTACACCTGATTTTAAAAAGTACATAATTAAAACAACTTTGACACCAGTAAAATGGTACTTGATATATATCTGACAAAAGAGACTCTGTAGCTTGTTGTTCGTGAAAATGATCGAAAACGACAAATAATGATTTATCGTTATGCTTATGGGCTTTTAGTAAAATCTCAAAACATGATTTGCAAATGTTAATGTTATAGTTATGAATTTTATAATATGAAACCCACAAACAATATTCATCCTCATCGTAACTATGCTCCCAATCAGTAAGCGACAACACCGTATTTCGCTCAGCTGAAGATAAATATTTCTTGCAGTCGATATACTCTAAGTTAGTATATGGGCCGAGTTCTGCTTGAACATTTAGTGCTTTCCATTTCCAATCAACAAATTTATTAGCAATATCACACGTTACTGACCACGGTAGCGGAGATTGATCTATAAATGTAGCTAGGTTATTAATGTTTTCACAAATTGTCTTTATACACAATTTTTCTAATTTTGAGGGCTGCTTCATATCTGAAATAAAGAAAAATGATTCATTCTTTAGGGATACTATAATGACCCCAGGGAAGTGTGTCAAAACTATTTGGAATCAAATAGCGTTTATCGTCATGAGGACTTAGACCAATTTTCGATTGTTCGATACTATACACATTATGCGCAAATGATCTAATACAACGTTGTGTAGTTATTTTTTCCTGATTTTCTTTTAAACACCTAACGTAATCTTCGAAGGTAATTTTATGTTTAACTATGTTATATTTAATCCCTTTCGATTTCTTAACCACTTTACCACCCTGCACTTTATAACTATACATTTTGGAGCGAAGTCCTACAAAGTGAGTCATAATTTTCCCATTATTTTCGTCTTTCATTAATCCCAAAACTTTTTTATTAACTCTAGGAATATTATAGATGTTATCTTCGCTATAATCAGACGTATCAAATTCTGCTAAATCTGCTTTTATTACGTCCTCGTATACATTATCACAGAGCAATTCATAGACAAAACTGTCTGTGTCCATGTACATTAATTTGCAATTACTTACGCCCATTTTCGGTAGCATGTAATTATAATGAAAATTGTACATGACGGTCTTAGACAAGTCTAGAATTGCCTGTCCTACATACAGAGGTTTATTAAATACTATTTCAGACTTTGTTAGTTCGATAGCCATCAAATTTTCCCCTAAGATTGTACGACTATGGAATCGAAAACTTGAGATCAAATTTTTGGCTCCATAACGTCCCTGCCATGATTTAACTAGCTTAACTATACGGTGCTTGCGAATATTTTCCATTGTCTTGCCAAACACTGCGTTGTTCATTAGCTTATAGAGGTTTTTCTCAAAATCATTCTTGGCTGCTGCCCTTAATCGAGTATTTAGCTCGATGTAGGGCTTCAACCAAGCAGATTGATTAAATTTCAAAATTTTATGAATCTTAGTTATAATTAATCCATTAGCCAACATTTGTTTTAAATTTCTATAGTGAACTGTGTATTGTTTTTTATCCGTAAGGGTTGTAAGTAATTTTGGTAATTTTGATCCCGGTGGAACACAGTGTTCAGCAGCAAATGGAAAATCTTTATGTTTGTCATGCAGATCTCGTGGGTACGATAAATCAACTTGCAAAACGTACCCTACGTTAGAGTCATCCGGTATTGACATCACATCAAAATTTTCGATGTTATCGACCCAGCTGAATCCTCCGTAGGGTAGTAATTCACACATAGCTTTCCCGTATAAATTATTCACGTCTAGGTACATTAGAAATTTTGAAGGTTTCGTGGGATCATACTCAGCCATATATTTGTTATTAGCCTCTGAATATCGGCTACTACACACCGATATTCCACCTCTTATGGCGCTTTCGTAAAACATAACCATGTCTAGATCCTTGAGAATTTCTAACTTGCATCTAGTATACTTGAGCATACAGTCCCAAGTATAGCCAGGCATAGTGTAATACCATGCAGGATCTAGACCGTACGTCTTAAAACAGTTTTTGCGAAATTGTTCGAAAACATCCGCAAGAAGCAGAATATCAGTTTTTAAATACACGTCTGAGTATTGTCCCAAATCCTGAATGTTAAATTTTTGCCAAATTTGCTGTGCATGAGCGTATTTCTCAGCACTAATATGTTCATCGTTTAATTTATTGTAAAAGTGTTGAATTGATGGTAATGAAGTCTCGTTTAATTTTTCTAAAGAATCTATATAATCGTAACAAAAAACTCCTTTGCGTGTTAACAATTCAAATTGATTATTAGTTAAATTTGGAAATTCGCGTTTTAAAATTTTCTTCTCTGAGTTATCTAAAATTGAAGCTAGTTCATCAAGAGATGTCCCCATGAATCGCAATGAATCGATAAAACGTAATTTAATGTTAGTTTCATCTGAATGAAGAGTAAATGAAATATATTTATCCTTATTGATTGGAAGTAAGCTCAAACATCCCTTTTTACATAAATTCGTAATCATAAAATGACTATCGTACCCACTTAGGTTGTGAAAGACCACTGGCACAACAAACAATTTTCGGAAATTCAGATTGCATGCTTGGTGCGAAAATCCCCTAAAGGATCCGTTAAAGTGGTCATGGTCTGTTACAATTATGTCCTTGGAGGAAAACTGTTTATTACATATATGACAAGTTTTTGCCTTACATGTATCTGGTTTTTCAATCATAGGCACAATTGTTTTTATTTTAGAATTTACAAATTTTGCTACATCTTCCATTCGATCTGCAAACCAATCCATGCAATCCTCACCGCGATAACTATCGAAATAAGAAAGGCTGTCATCATATGAACATTTTACATAGTAGCCTGCACTATACGCAACATGTTTTTGATATTTTAAAGTTTTAGTTATACTAGGTTGATTGAAATTTTCTAATTGACACTCAAAATCAGCATAAACGACAAACGGGGTAGTTTGCTGATATGTAAAGTTTCGAAATTCAACAAAATCAAATTGAGGAACACTCATTTTATACTTATTTAATTTAGAGCAAAGTTTTTCATGTTCAGCTAATTTATCTCGACTACTAAAATAATTTAAACATCTATCACATATATATTTTTTATTGCAATCTTTACTGAGTTGTCTTGAAACTAATCGTGACAAATCTTTGATCCAGCAATAATGATATTTAATCTCTTCGTCTACATCATCAACCGGTGGAGCATCGTAATCATTTAATTTTGGATAATATTTATTTTGAATTAAAAGTAAATTGACATGCTTCTCTAATTTATTTTTTGTTAGTCTAGCCGGTACTACTGTGTAAAATGTTTTTTTCTCTGTCTCGTTTAATTCTAAAGCATAAACGTTAACTGAAATTTGGTTTATTTTTTCAAATTTTGGAATTTGACTTAATTCCATTGGACAATCTAAATCCTCTGTTTGCAGAAATTGTTTGTAATATGGATACGAGGAGGTTCGTTCTGTATGTTTATTTTTAGTAGGATAAAGAGCACTAATAATGGACCAATAAAAGCAGGCCTGATCGGTATTTTTAATATTAATACATGCTCGTTTTTTTAAAATTGCCTCAGGTAATTTAATGTAAGACGATCCGTTTCCCATTTCATATTTATTTACATTTACTGCTAATGATACGATTTTACTTAATGCCCACCCACTATCTTTCTCCGAAAATTCCGACAATTTATTTAAAATTTTATCTTGCACATTATCCTTAAACCACTCTGTTATTTCAGTCGATTTATCAATAACAGCATTTTTAGTATTGAAATATTTTAAATCTAAAATCTCATTATCGTTAGATTTTTTGATGAATTCGCCACAAAATGTAGTATTAACTTTAAGTGCTTGATTTGCTTTTAAAAATTTATTAATTTTATTTTTAAAAATAACTACACAATCATCCAAAAATGTATCTAAGTCCTTATGACGTAAATTAACTATAATTCCAGTTGTAACTCTACTTTTAAAACTAGATTCTACATTAGCCCATTTTACGCGTTGCCCCAATTTTGATTGTATGCCCATACCAATATGTCTATTCAAAATTAATTTTCTAAAATGTTTAAAATGTCCCACATTAGTTTCCAATTTACGTAGAGCACCAATAGATAAATTATATTGCCGTCTACTACGAATTGCTTTATTACACGATTTAATCTGCCTTTGTAATCGTTTTAACCAAATCTCCGCATCTTTAATTGTAAAATTGTCGAATAAAATTTTCCTAAGTTTTTTTATAGCCGCTAGTATATTACTAGATTGTTTAATAACATTAAAAGGATTCATTTTAACACTGGCAAACAAAAAATATTTAAAAAAAATCGCTTACCCTTTTATCCTTAATTTTCGATAATTTCGAAAGATGCCGCTGGTTGTGGTTTGCCAGTGTCTACTGCACCCCTATAGACAATCGCGTATCTTGATGCCGTGAAATGTTTGATGCTTGGCCGGTATAGTTCCGTTACTCTATTTGGCAAAAAGGTCACTGCGTGGTCCAATTCTACTAGCACTGATTCCCCAAATTTTCCTTTGGTAATTTTGGCTGCTAAGATGGTGTGCGGAATGTCCAAAGGTAGAGTACTCAGCTTCACAACTGGCTTATTTGCTTTCTCTCCAATTAAGGAACATTTGTTGAGTTCACTTAAGTTCATCTATAATAATTTTAAAAGTTATTAACAGAAAAATAAAATTAATAAATTTTTAAAAACTAAAATCAAATAATTGACTAATGCGTGAAAAATTATCTATAAAAAAATCTATGTATAAAGCGTTATTTAAAAAAAGCACTATAAGTTACTTACTTACTTTTAAAAGGATAATGTGGCAGCTAATCTATATAGTTGTAGTTGATTGACGGATGATTGACAGTTGATTGGATCTATACTTGTAGTTGATTGACGGATCTATACTTGTAGTTGATTGACGGATGATTGACAGTTGATTGGATCTATACTTGTAGTTGATTGACGGATGATTGCCACTTGATTGGATCTATAGTTGTAGATGATTGACGGATGATTGTTGATTGTCGGCTTTATCTAATTAAAGAACAATCTTTTAGTTTCTATTTCACAAAAGTTCACAAATGTATTTTCATAAAAATCAATAAATAAAAATGAAGCTCGTTTTCTCAAAAATAACTGATCTAATATCAAAAAAACAGCAATAGTCTCTCACAATTTCGAATTTAAAAAACAAAGAGTATTTTTGGGATAAAGAGAGTGAAAAAAATCAATATATATTTCCTACCTTAATACACAAAACTATTAGTATTCACTGTATAGCGTCTTGCTCAATACTGACAAACAATGGCTAATTCTGGGGCTATTTATACTTTCGCAGTATCAGACGATAATTCTAGAAATTTCCAAGTTCACCAACAAGAGATATATTTTTCCTGTTAATACGGTTTTAGTGGTCTGAGAATTTTGCTATCAAAAATTCTAACTTTACAAGTTTGGTTTGAGATAATAATTTATCATTTTTTCACGGAAATGCTTTTTCCGGTATATTTGGTTTCGGTGTTTGATAATTTTCCTATAAATTTTAAAGTTTCAACAATTGTGGCCTGTTATCGGCGATATATGTATTGTTTAAAATTATATTATATTTTATAAATGTATGATACAGAATGTCCTATATTATTGCAAATCAATATTCATTTTGTATATGATCTCTATGATATTTCAGGTGGTTGGACCGGTTGTTGGACTAGGGTGCTCCCAAAGATTTAAATCGAACCACGTGATATACGCTAAGGCCCTTCTGGCTTTACGCAAAAATTCTCTTGTACGTTAATGCTTCTCTACATACCCCCATTTAAATCGGACCACGTGATACACGCTAAGGCCCTTCTGGCTTTTCGCAAAAATTCTCTTGTACGTTAATCTATACCACGATCTCTACGTAATGCCGTTTTCCCCATTTAAATCGGACCACGTGATATACGCTAAGGCCCTTCTGGCTTTTCGCAAAAATTCTCTTGTACGTTAATCTATACCACGATCTCTACGTAATGCCGTTTTCCCCATTTAAATCGGACCAATAGCAGTGAAGATACACGCTAAGGTCCTTTTGCCCTGCCACTGCGCATGATTTTTCTCTTGTATGTTATTCTATATCCCTCTCTCTACGTAATGCCGTTTTCCCCATTTAAATCGGACCAACGATAGCTGAGATATACGCTAAGGTCCTTTTGTCCTGTCATTGCGCATGATTTTTCTCTTGTATGTTAATCTATATCACGCTCTCTTCATAATGCCGTTTTTCCCATTTAAATCGGACCAACGATAGCTGAGATATACGCTAAGGCCCTTTTGGCTTTACCACTACGCAAAATATCTATTCGACGAAATTTAATCCCCCCACTCCCCCCACTACCCCGTTTTCCTCTCAGACCGTCTGTCTCACTCTTATTCATTGAATATGTACCTCTCACTCTTACACGTTGAATTCCCTATGTGGGGCCATACATAGGTTGTCTATCTACTTTCTCGCCAAAAGATCCTCTGAAAACGACGGTGTTCAGGATGAATGATAACCATGCGGTACATTTTCTCAATGTCCGCTGTTAAAATATAGGCGTGAGTCCTAAACCGAATAATGATATCAAAAAGATCATCTTGTATTTGAGGACCAACGCCCAAACATTGATTGAGTGAAATTCCAGAATCTGTTGTGGCGCTGCCATCGTAAACAACACGCAATTTCGTGGTGCTGGAGCTTTCTTTTTTGACCCCGTGATGCGGTAAATAAAATGCAAAGGAATTGTCATCAATATTGGAGCCGACTAAGGACATGTGATTCAGGGTTTTGTACTCATTAATAAAGTCTACGTAGAGCCTCTTATATTGAGTGTCTCTTTCAAAACGTTTCTCAATGCTGCCAAGACGTTTTAATGCTGCAGGTTTAGAATCACCCAACTGATCAAGGGATTCGTTAAAGGGTAGCTTAACAACAAACCTGCCATAGGAATCGCGAATAGTGGTTTCTTTGAAGAATGTTTCACAAAAGTTTTCTTCTAACGGCAAATGTTTTTTGGTAGGAGTTTCCTCCAACTCCCAAAACTTGACTAATTGTTGATTTAGTGTTAATGCACAAAATGTTTTTTGTGTTTTGGAATCTGAAGGAAAATTGATAGAGCCTGCCAGAATCCAACCTAATTGAGTGGATTGTAAAGTAGGGTTCCCGTGACCTAACGAAATAGTCTCGTGATTGAGTAAATCATAAAATAGAGCAGCCCCAAGCAAAATGTCGATTTTGCCTGGCTTGTTTAATGTCGGATCTGCTAGACTAATATTACTAGGAATATTAATATGATTAAGATTAAAATGCACATTTGGAATTTGATCCGTAATTTGTGGTAGAATTAAAAATGGTAATTTAATTTCAAATGTAGATTGCATTGATTTTATTGTGGCAAAAGATTGTTTAAAGACACCAATGGAATTTTGGCCTACCCCAAAAATTGAAATGTTTACGTTTTGCTCTCGTAATTGTAATCTTTTAGCTAATGAAGTTGTTATATAATTACTTTGGCTTCCTACATCCAACAGAGCACGAGCAGTGTGTAAATTGCCAACGTGATCCTTTATGTAAATAATCGCTGTGGATAAAAGAACCAAATTGTCATTTTTTATTGAATGTGCTGAACTAGAGGTTAATGTAGAATTGTTACATGGAGAATGTTGATGTGGCTCATCCTGATCAACAGTACCAGGTGAAGAATTGCACTCATTGTTAGACTCTGTTGCTGAACTGGAAAGTAATGTTTTAGTCTCTACAGTATTTGTGCCATGAAGAATGGTGTTATGCCTTGCATGACAAGTTTTGCAACCACCTGAACTACACTGAACTTTAGAATGACCCTTTCTTAAGCAATTAATGCACAACCCTAATCTCATAATTTCCTTATACTTATCTTTTAATGCAAGTTTTAAAAATGTGGTACAACTATAAGCATGAGATTGATTGCAGTAGAAACAAGTTACTGTTGATTTTGTTTCAGGTGTATTTTGAATTGCTGAAAAAGTATGATTGATTCTATTTGCTTGTGAATGATTTTTGAAATGAGAATTTTTTGTAGGGGTTTGTGAGTTGGAAATGAGTTTATGTGAATGATTTTTTGTTTTTTCAATGCTTTCCAGAAACTCACATCTACATACTAAAAATTCCATTAGTTCAGACAACTTGGGAGGAGCCCTTTGAGGTTGAGAATGTGACACCTCTTGCCACCTATCCCTGGTGGTTTTATCTAATTTATTTTTAATGAGCTGTATTAATAAACGATCCCAGGAATCAGTGGGCTCACCAAGTGCCTTTAAAGATCTTAAATGTTGCTTAAATGAGTCAATGAGTCTCCTTAACTGAACTGCAGATTCATTGACTACATCTGGAATGTTAAAAAGATCATCAACATGCTTGTCAACGATTACGCGCTTGTTTTCGTAGCGATCTATTAATAATTGTAAAGCTACAGAGTAATTTTCATCTGTTAACTCAATGTCTTGAATGATTGCAGCCGCTTCACCTTGAAGCCTGCCCTGTAAATAGTACAATTTTTCAACCTTTGATAATTGGGTATTTTTGTCAACCAACGCAGAAAACCTTTTAAAGAAAAAAAGCCATTTTTTATAATCTCCATCAAAAGTGGGGAGATCTATTGGAGGGAGACAAGAACGATTTGAGTTGTGTTGAACTGTTGCTTGTGAATTAACACCTGTCATTACCTTTTGATTAATGTTAGCATGCATTTGTATTATAACGTTTCTGGCAGTAGCTACTGATTTATAATAGCTATTTTCAAATGACTCTCTATTATTTAGTAACATTTCGTTTTTGTCTAAAGATTCTATCTGATTTTGAACATTATCGAACTGAAATAATATATTTTGAACATGATCAAGTCTGGTTTCCAATTCTACCAAGTTTTCTTCCACCGCAGATTTCGTGAAATTGATGAAACGTGTTAATTTTGAAACTAAAATCTCTCTTTCACTTAATACGCGTTTTAATTTGTCATCACTCGATTCTAATTGAACTACAGTTTTCGAGCTAGTTCCCTGAATTATAGTAGATTTAGAACCGTTTTCCTCATTATCAGACATTGTAATTACTTTAAAAACCTACTAAAAATGATAATAAATGTTTAAAAGGTGTAAAGTGAATGTAAATGTTTCTAAACTAATCACTGTCGGTGCGAATAATAACTGGTAAATGACCTAAATTGCATTGAAATGGATACCCTATTGTTATTGATTCAGATCAAAATACACTTGATTTGTTAAATGATATGGTAATTGGTAATATGAATAAATGGATAAAATAAATGAATAGACTCACAGAATTCTAGAAAATGTTGATAGACTTTTCATCAAGGTACCGTAGATAGACCCTCGCTTGAGACTAGCGTGCCTAGACCACGTGATGATTGATGAGTTTCTCTATGATGAACGATCGACTCCTGCTGGCATCAGGAAACCGTAGAAATGCTGCGTCTCGACTCGATGAAATGTTGTTGCACCCTGTTTGAGGCTAGTGCAAAAATGATTTCGCTTTACAAGCACAATCCGGGCGAATGGATCAAAAAATGTTGAATGTATGATGAGTGGATGTAATTGTTGAGCTGGTGGACTGTATAACTGATGAGAAATAAAACTATTGCTTCGAAGGAGAACTGAACAGCACTTTTATTTACTTTGTATTAAAAACAATAATTGTGTGAGTAAGACCGACACAAGAGATGAATGAATTCTCAATGAATGACGTTGGAGACAATTGATAGTTCCATGGCACAAGGTTTAGTAGTACCAACTGTCCCAACCGAAATAAAACTAAAACACTATCGGTTGCATACCTAGTAGGCCTTAACAATTAGATTAAATTTGAAGTTTAAAATTTACTGTTTATTCATTTTTGAATTATCGTTAAAACCTAAAGTACAGTTGAAAACTACAAGTCGAAAAAAAAGCAATCCTATACTTTACTGGATACATGAAAGTTAAAACCTAATTTAAAAAAAAAATACATTTAAGCATATTAGATTTGTATGAATATTTGAAATATTCCATTTTATAAAACAATTAAAAGTACCATTAACACCTAGGCTCCAGTATCCAACAAAATAAGCAAGCAATAAATTTTTACCATCTCCGTGCAGACATTTTCCGATCTCAAAGTATACAGTTGAGGCTTTCTCTCATTACTTACATATCCTTCATGCTCTTACGCAAATATTGAATATGTTTAATTCTTACAAAATTAAAAAAATCAAATACAAATCAACTTAATAATTGAAATGATATACATATTAGTAAACTCCTAAATAAGGACCTGCATATTTGAGTTTATTTTTATTCAAGACGACTTTAGCGCCATCTATTAGAGAAGCTCCGAATTAACCTGTGGCTACTGTATGCAATTTTAGGAAGTTTTCTTTTATATTTTAGGCAATTATTACACATAAATGGCGATTTATAATTTATTCCAAAATTTACTTCAATGAGCTTTTAAGAAAATTGACGCAATTAATTTAGATATTTTAAGTGACATTTGTTGCTTTAGTATATAGCCTATTCAAAGAAGAATTTTTTTCATCATCGGGTAATTATTACTGGTATATTTTTAGCTTTATTTCATCGTAAAAATTACCATATTTTGGGAATTATTTTTAAACGATCCCTTATAGTTAGAGACACCAAAAACCTTTATTGAACAGTAGTATATATCTATTATCGGCAGGAATTTTTTCACTTTTATCTTTGTTGTAGTTTCAGCTAAAAAGTCATTGAAAGAGCGTTGTGTATGCCTATGTTAAATACATTGCCCACGCCCGCCCTTAAGAGTTTTGGAGGGTAGAAATAAAGTATTTGAGTTTAAATTAAATTTCTGAAAACCTTAGTTCGTTGGTTAAAATAAAACCATTACATTCTCCCCTTAGTTCAAGAAAATTTACTCATGTAAATTTTCATCAGCGCTAGCTGGAATGTTGTCACTGTATACATACATTCCTCGTCTTGTTTCATCACTGACACAGGATTCGGCAGGTAGAACGCCGTCTACAAAATGGTACTCAGTGGATGTAGAGCCTGACGACTCTGATGTCGTTCTAGACCTCGAGCGGGTATTTTGTGAAGGTGGCCCGTCTGATTCAGAAGTAGTGTTTGTTGATATTGACATCTATGAGGCGGCTTGTCTAATATCCAATGCCGGCATCTTATCGATTAGCACAGGCGGGTTTGACAATTTTAAATATCAAGATCCCCGTTCTATCAGTTTACTCTCTCTTGCATTCAGAGGAATGTATCGTTTCAAGATAGATCGGGGATCGGTGTCTATATCGGGATGTGAGTCATTAGTTGGTTTTACGTCTTTGACCGAAGACGGGGCAAAGTATTTCTTGATGATAGTAACTCCCACAACTATACTTCTGGTTACACAATTAAATGTAGTATAGGTTTGGGATTTACTACCAGCCATAGTTGCGTGGTCTGTTGCCGTTGGACAGGCATTAAGAGGTGATCCTGTGTTTCCCACTATGGAGTGGGGAACACAGAACCACGCGACGTTTAGTTTGGCTGTGTCTGTATCTCGGAGAACCCCAGGAAATTGAGATAATAATAATAATCTTTATTGACCAGTTACATATAACATATACATTTATGGTCACTTAAACTAGTGTCTTTAAATAAGTACAAGAATTTTTAAAATCGTTATAAAAAAGTTAAAAGATAAAATATCGAAAAGTTATAATATATTGTAAAATATACACAGATATAATATTTTGTTTTGAACGAATTTAAAAAAGTTATAAAAAGTAATACAAGGTAATACAAAAGGATTAGTCAATAATTAAAACATAAGAACAGATAAAAACAATAAAATATTGATATACAGATATAAAAAATGTGTTAAAATTCATTGTTACTTAAATAGTCTACAAAATCATCTATTGAATAAAAACAATGGCTCACCAAAAATGATTTTGCAAATGTTTTAAACGAATACAAATTCATATTTTTTATATCCTTGCCTTTAAAAAAATTGGTAAACTTATTGTACAGTCCGACATCCAATGTGTTCTTTTTGGAAAGACCAATTCTTGAGAAAGTTTGCATCAAGTTTCCTGCATTTCTGGTATTGTATTGGAGAATGTCGGAGTGAACAGTAAACTTATCACGATCGTTGTGGATTGTTTTTAGTGTTTCTAGTATAAATAGGCAAGGTACTGGTACGATATTGTGTTTTTTAAATAGGATTTGGCAAGGAATTTCGTACTTGACACCTTCTAATACTCTGATTGCTGATTTCTGCATTTTAAATACCTCCAGAGCACCTACCGAATAGTGACTGAGTAAAAATACTGTGGATAAATAGTATTTTCGGTCATATTGGTCACGGATTAGTTGACTGCTATCGTAGGAGTAGTTGTCCACCCATCGGAAAACAAACTCCGGCCCTTCTTCGGGCAAGATAGCGTATATCAGAGGAGCATAATTCAGGATGTCAATAGTGCCCGATAAGAGGGGGTGGGCAATAGTGTTATTTTCTGTGAGTAGAATACCCTCTTTGTATTCCCTCTCCTGTGTGTAGAATACCTCAGATTCAAAAGAGGGGTACCACCACGAGCTAAACCTAGCTTCTCTTTCCACTGGATGTAGAAATGAATTGGGAAGTTAGACCAATTCAAGTCAGTGGTTGGGTCCATGCTATAGTAGCTTTCGATATACCTGTGGGACCATTCGTTGACGTCCTGAGTAACACGATTCATGTTAATGAACACTAGTGTATCTTGGAAGATACTGCTCATAATCTGTTGATATAGTGTGGACAGGTTGGTACTACGTGCAAAATCATACCAGCCCACCCACATGCGAGCATCTATGTCATTTGATGCAAGGAAAAGAGACATGTTTGCGTACAAGGCCAACCCTTGCATATTGATAAAATTGGCCATGCCCGACGGTGCAGAAAAGTTAATATGTTGTTGGTGAGTAGCAATCAAACCAGTAGCAATGGAGAGTCTGGTTAGACTGGAGGTAGTATAGGTGTTGTACTGGGGGATCAATTGTGCTATGGCGTTTGTAAAGCCGTTCCTCTGCCAGGTTCCAGTTACGGCGTCATTGATTACATACTTCACGTCGACGCCAGCCTCCTTTTTGGTAACTTTTCTGTCACGTATTGTATATTGCACCTTTTCGAATGATGTCGGGCTTCGATGGAGAGGTGTCTGAACTCCAAAGTTAAATCTGATTAGTCGTTTTCTTAGATCTTCGAACACTGTAACTTCGTCCGGATCGTGACCATCGAGGAAATCTTTTCCGTAAATGTTTCCCCCTTTTCTGTCTATGGTTCCCGCGCCGGTAGCCCAGGAACCGTATGCTTGTGTAAAGTCATACTGTCGGTCATTCGTAGCTGGTGGGATGTTAATGCCTGGGTGACCGCCCAACATTAACTCCGAAGCTAGGGAAATAGCGTCTTCTACTCCTAGGAAATCACATAACTCGTTAAATGCGCCACTGACACACCCGGCTATTTGAGCTGCGTTTCCGGGTCGCCACACATTGTTTCCCCAATGTGCTCCTAGGTCAGTTACGGCTAGTGCCGCCTGTCCTGCTGTCCATACAGATACTATAAGTGGTGCACTGATCGGCCCTGTCGATCGGACGTTTGGCGGGCTCGATACGTTGGTACTATCAATGAGGACGAGCATAACATTTACTGGTCCGGGTACCATAACGCTGTTGATGTTAGGAATACAGGTGAAGTTTCCATAATACGCATACGTCCACGTATTGTCGTAAAACTTCATGGGTCTAATCCAATTAACCGTTCCATTCCAGAAACTGCTGTTCAGAAAGGAGATGACATAAATCAGTGCCCATGGGTTGTTTAGGGCTGTTTGTCGTATGGGGACCATTGTCCAGGTGGTATCCATATACTGGTATAGAACTGGTTCCCCAATTTCATTATGTTTATTAATACCCATAGCGACAGCTGTGTCTAGTGGAACTGCCACTATCCGGGAGGTGGGAAATCCGCCCTGGGGTACTAGGATATCCAGTTTAGCGTGTTCTTCCGGAATATTATAGACACGCCTAATAAATTT